AATTATACCTTCAATGTGATAAGATTTTTTGACTTCAAACAGAATAAAAAAGCCTTTTCAGGGTTTTCAGGGTTCGGAATTATCATTTTTTTGTTTCCAATAATGAGTTCGGTTATTAAGGCTGTAGTTTCTGTATTAAATAGCCTAAATGGAACAACAAGCAAATACGGCCCACACTGGGTTCTGACTACTTATATACAAAAATACTTAGATTTTACATTGATATAAATAAATATAGGACACAGATCAGACTAAGAAATATGGAACTTTGTATGTCAGTGATATAAATTGTTTTAAATTCATTTTTTGCTAAAATTCACAATGTAACTGAATTAAAATCTGAACCTTCTAATTTAATAACTACTGAGACAAGAAGTACCTAAACCTATTAAAGTATGATTCTATTAAAACTCTTTTGTCAAAGTTACCGAATTTTAAAGTGCGTAGTGGTAATAGGATTAGCTAATAGTGGTTTGGTTCTTTGGGAAACCTACATCCCCAAAGACAATGTTATCATGGTTAGTGAGCATTACGAGCTCACTAACGAACTCAGTAATAATAGGTTCGTATTAATTTTGCAAGTGGTAGAAATAGGAGCAAGAGGTATAACAACTAACTCTTTGTACAGCCTACTAAAAGACTTGGGCCTTCCCGAACTAACGTCAATTCATTCTTAGGACGTGCTTCGAAGGCAATTCTAGTATGTTCGTTTCAAATTTGGTTACGTAGAGAGGAGAGCTTGGGTCGTGGATGAGGCCGTAGATTTAACACGGATTGGATAGGGGTCCCTTACGTCTACATCTGGGTTGAAAGTCCCAGGTACTGTTGAAGGTCCTCTTCTTGCAACGCGATGGACCCGGAACCCGCACGGTGAATCCATGGAACGCTGAGAATTTTCGTCTGTAAGACCATACCAAGTTTTTTGTACTTTGAGTGTGATTAAGACATAATATAAAGTACATATTAGTATAAAAAGCGTATGTAAACTGAATAAAGTTTTGAGTTGTAGAAAAATAATTGATTGATTTGAATTTGTTCAGGCGTTGAATATAATGTTGAGGTAAATGTGACTGATGGGGAGCGAAGCGTTCTTAAGATAATAGGAGGAAAAACTATACAGAATATATTAATCACAATATTGAATGTGGTATGATATTTTGCGTGACTTTCATTGATCGCATGTCTATCTCAACATGAGCGTACATTACTCCATGTATCCACCATTACGTTCTTTACATCTGTTTCCATACAACGCATGGTACTTTCTATCAAAGTAATATAATGTATTTTTTATGTCGTAGCTTCAATGACGTTTGCTAATTTAGAATGATTTATCGTTTTCTTATATACACAGAAATATTTTTGATACAAAATAATTTGTCTGTTTTGCAATGACATTACAATATAGTATTTATAATATCAAAATGCATATTCAAAATGAAACTCAGTCTTTCAGGTAATAACGAAGTAGGTGATTTAATTTCACATCTTTAGCCACGTAATACTAAAAATGTATATATATTTCTGCAGGAATAAAGAAACTTTTTATGTGCAATACTAATCAATATTATAAAATACTATGATTACTTAAAATCAGCTTTATATGAAAATCTAAAAGCAAACAGTTATTATATTGAAATCATAGTAAAATACACAACATAGAAATGTTGCTATAAGAATACTTTTAATAAAAGCGCCTGCCGTTCATCACTTGTACCGTATTATACCACCCAAAGGCTCTAGAAAATGGCTACAATAAAGAGGGGGGAGTGTATTCAGTCTCTTTTGTATGTTTTTTAACCGAGCAATGTAATGAAGTGCTGGATTTGTGGAGATTAAGTCTGGTTTAAAGTCGGGAAAAGTAGATTACCGCAATAGCTGTATAAAAAATAAATTAGATTTTTTGTTTACAGATTTTTGATAACTATTTGTTCACTATAATAATCATTTTATATAAAAATTTTAATTTTGCTTTAATTATATTTTTAAATCGAAAATAATTTTAAACTTTATTTATACTGGGTCCTGAAAACCGCTTCCCTTTCATATCACTCAACAAACTGAATGTATGAAGAAATTTTAATTAATGCTAAACGCATAATTCAACCTTAAATAGGTTGCGAGTCTTACTTTTATATAAACAAATTTAAACGCAGTAAATCTAACCCAGTTTCGTTATAAGTAGTCGTGGAGCAACATCCTAACTTCTGCTATGAAACTACATATATAATATAAGAAGAAATTAAATGAAAGCGCACTGCTCATTTACTAACGATGTTTCGGGTCATTAGCGGAAAACTATTTGCCCGTTTTGGAAGAACCATTATATTGTTCTTGGCCATTTTAGAAATATACTTTTCCTCGATTAAAATATGATCTAATATCAAACCTATGAAAATTTTCAATCTCAGAAAATAATATTAATAGTAATTGCATATGCTAATTTTACATTTTAGCGTGTTATTTTTATACTACTTAAAACAGTTATTGTGTATGAAAATCTATGAATAAAAAATATACATTATAGTACTAATAGCTAACAATACAATACGTATAGCCAATAAAATGAATGATACGGAGCCTATAGAAAAAGCAATTCACGGTAGAACGGCCGAAATCCGGTAAGATCAAAGGACGACAAAGAGTAAGAAAAACCCGAGTTTTATAAAGATAAAGTCTTCATAGGGTTACAGGATCAATGACGTCAGCAATTTCTAAAAGCGTTGTCTTGTATGGTCACTGAATGTGATAATATTGTAAAATAACTCTGCCCAAAACTTCGTGCGATAACTAACATCGTGTAAAAAGTTTTCAACTATATGTTCTCAAAAGATTCATTTACCTTTAATCATAATAATAAAGATAATTTTAATAGTCGGGTTAATACGTAATCGTAATATTTAATTGATTTAAGCTTAGCTAAAGTAGTTATAAGATCATAATTGTCGTAGTAACCAATGCAATTAGTTTTGAAAACCCATTAAAATTTTGTGACCATCTCGTAACAGACTTGAATTTACGTTATTGATTATGAAATACGTGTTGATATGTATAGTATTCCTTTCTTTTTTACCTTTATCAACATATCTTCCACTCGCTATTGATTCAAAACATGCAGACAGCACAACGAAGCATTGAATTAAATTATGCAGTCTGTCAAATAGATATTGGAATAATCTTTATGAATATTGAGATACAACAAACAAAGATCATGAAGCTTAAGTTTCTTATTTTCTAAATAAACTGAGTTCTCCGAAGGTTCCCACGGGATAAAACTGTATGAAATAAAAATCCACTAAAATATTATTTTTAGATGTTAGCGATATATTTCGAACAGAACATTTCGGACATGCTATATAGAGGACGAGGAAACAAACCATAAACTCACAAACCAAGATTTACACAATCCTTGCTGACTGTCCTTTACTTAGCAGGGACAAAGGATGTTTGAAAGGATTTTGTGGATGAAATAAATCTTAAAGCAAATACTCCTCGATAGTTTTGTCTGACATAATTACGGTTAGAGACTACTTTTTATCCGCGGTCTTGGGATTTAGATGGTCATTATTTGAAAGTTTCCTTTGTTTCGCAGTAAGTCTTTTAAGATGAGCTAAACGAGAAAATATCAAAGTTCAAATGGATTCTTTATTAATTATTCGTTTTGATGGTAATCATATAATGACTGAGGAGTGAGGTCACACCGACTTTATATTTTAGGTGAAATTATGTTAATCCATTTTTTAAACTTTTACATTAAATAGAATAAGAAAAAAAGTGTAACCATATGGTTGAGCTAGGCTTGCAGGGTTGCTAGTATTTCATTTATAATTACCCAACTCTACGTCACACGTGGGTCACGTAAGACCCAAAATACCTACATTGCGGTGACCCAGAAGGCTCCTTTGGGATCACACGCACACTGAGATAAATAATAAAACAAAACAACACAAATTTATGGCCCCGTGATATTGTACACCACGAGTTTAGTGCAGTTTTATGTTATTTATTTGTAGAATATTTTAGTATTGATTTTTAATTCTAATTCCGTTGATAAACTTTTATTTAAACTAAATATCGTAAATAAGTTAGCAATCAAACTTTCTTATGTTGTAATGTAATATATTTATTAATATTATTTTCTGTTTTATTATTTTAAATACGAGTATCATTTCAGTATTTAATATACATTTTTTAACTTTTATAGTCAAATGATTTAAAAAACTTTATTTAACGTTACACTACTTTTAATATATGTATATCGTTTAATGTACCTGATTTGGCGCCAACTTTCCGGATTTCTTGCCAAGCCTTCATTCGAGAACGAATAATTTTTATAAACTTTAAACAAAGAACCACTACTATGCCAAGTCATGAAATCATTAATTTGAAATATTTATTGTTGCAATCACGCACAAATGATTGAGAGTATATTTGTAAGGATTGTATTCATATTAAGCAAAGTATTTTCCGGTCTGTTTCCAATTCAATATTGTGTCTTTATACATATGTACATATATCTGCTATTTTAAGGGCAACTGGTAAACATCTCTTCAAAGAGATAAGCTGTCCTTTGTAAAAAGATTGTTTGATATTTTCTGTTTTATATTATTTATAGCGGTGCATAAAAAAACGATCATAAAATAGGTAATGAAAAACGCTTATTGTTATGAATAGTATAATAGGTAACTCGTCTTTAACGTACTATTATCCAATTAAAACAAAGTATTTTTTAATGTGTAGTCCGTCCTCTTCTTCGTAGTCTCACATTCCGACTTAGTTTTTCCTTTGCTTTTCTCGCAGTGTTTTATTTTTATGGCCTTGTCTCTTCGAATATTTCTTATTGCCTCGCGCCCCTTTGTAATTTCAAAGAATTTCCAAACACTTGGCAGTATTTCCTACGTGCGAGATGACAGTAGCGATGGTTTTGTAATACAAAATAGGACTGAGAATCCAAACAGGGAAGGGATGATAACAAATTTATATGAACACCAAGTTTTCTTCTAGCTGGAACAAACTCTTTTTATGTTGGTTTCTAAGATATTTGAAATGGCGTAGCTATTGTGTGGAAATTCAACGTTTCTTAATATCATCTTAAGTTGCTCGCGGAGCTCGTTTGCAAATAAAATGGTCTCGTATGAAACCGACCTTTTCACTCTTAATAAATTTGGTAAAATATTATTTGGTAGGAAAAAGCCCTTCTTTTCTGTTTTCGATGACTTCGACATCATTATAGATTCACTTGTTGCAACCGATATTTCCAATAGACTAGAAGCGTATGATATCAGTGCTCTTATGCCATATAAAACGACGAACAAAAAAAGAGAGAATCCAGCGATTAAATAATTCTTCTCGATTCTGTTTAGTAAATTTAATTTTTCTAATTCGTCAGGATTTTTCTGTGATATGAGGTAATGAATGTTTTGCAATGGAATGTACATACCAAGATATACAACGCATATGAAATAGCCTGCTATGCCGAGGAAGTAAAAAGTCCTGTGCTTCCTAATGAGATTATTCATACATCTGGTTACCTTTCTGACGTCATAAATTGGATTCAGCAGTACTAGGATACCGCTCATTTGCACCAAAACCAAACTGCCGAGAATTACAGAACCGGCGTCCATTTTCCCGCAATGGCTACTGATTAATATTTTTGTACACGATACAATATTGAGGTGTTTTCATTTTTTTTGTTTAGAATTTTTCCATTATGTCAGCAAGGTGACAAGTCACTGACACGAAAGAGGGTGAGATATTCCTTTTGTAAATTAAATGTTTACTTCTTTTATGGTTACTTATCTGTTATAAAAATAAAAGCGAATTTATTAGTTCTATCTTTTTCAAAATTCTTATAAATTAAAATTCAGTTTAACGTATAAAAAAGACGGTAAATATGAATTATTATTTATAAATATTCCAAGAATATTCGATGTTAAAAAAAATGCAATTGAAATATCGTAGTTTTTCTTTTACAATACATATATATTAAATGACACAAATTTTATAAAAATAATAATATTTATTAAAATAATATAATAAAGGTTTCATGTTACACAGAACTGAAGGTTTATATTTTCAGTAATTTTCAGTAATAGCAATATTTCTATTCAATTTGATCTGCGTTGTGCCGTTTTCTTTTGTTAATATAGCATGCCTACACATTAATTCAAATTCTAATAGTCTCGCAATTGTAATAAGAAATTGTATTATTCTTTCAATTAGAATAAGAAGATATAGAGCTAAAAAGAAACATGTATAGCACATTGACAGTTTGCTTGAATAAAAATGCCAAACTAGTTCAGAATTTTTAACACTATCTACTGTGAAACTATAGTAACTTTTCTCCCACATAATTTCTAACATAGAATTTATGAGTAAGGCAATGCTAAAACCCAAAATTATGTTATGGGGGTAGCATGCGTTTACTTGTAACTTACACCAGTAATCTCTTATGACATATGGTTCTCTTATAGGTTTTAATAAAGCAACCAGAGTAATTAGTTCTAAAAATATAAAGCTTCCAATACATGCACTAAAAATATTAATCATCCTTGATTGATACTGTCGTCTTTGCTTTTTCTGTTGAGGCAGAACTTTCTGTATTCTTTTCTTTTAGAACAGTCTGAGCTAAACTTGTTTCTTTGGTATTGTTGGTCTCCTTTGTTTCCAAACTGTCAGATTGTTTGATTGTTTGAATCTTTTCGTCTTTAGGAATATTTTCATTTAATTTTTCTTTAGTTGGTGTAACTTTAAAGAAATCTTTAATCCTTTTGTGTTCTATTTTATTTAATTTCGCTATCGACGGCCAACGTACAGTTTTGTCGTATTCATCAATATACTCGTCGAGAACGTAATTATCTTCGATTTCAGGTTCTTCACAAGTTTCTTTATATGTCACGTCAATCAAATCATAATTTGCCATTAAATTTGAAAATTCATAAAGTTTCGCTGAAAAAGTCACAAAATCAAATAATCTCAAAATAACAAGCAGAAAAAATAATGAAAATGCGCCTAGAATATAATTTCTGGAAGCATTGGTAGCTAATATTATTCTATTAACTTTATCTTCAGTCGTTTCGAATGTTTTGGATAGTTTCACAGTTTTAAGTTCGTTAAGCGTTTTTGCCGGATATATTATTCCGAAAGTTAAAATTGTAAATCCAAATAAAATAACACAGCTTAATGTGATTACGTTCGTTTTTAGATTATCCTTAATGAGTTCAATATCTTTTGATAAGAGCACTATATCGAAGTACGGTATCAGTACGAAAAATAACACTACCATTTCAATCAGGTTCACAGATAGTAGAAACACTGATGATAAATCAGAAATCATACTTGAACGGGAATTTTGATTGTTGTTGTGATTATGATGACAGCAGACTGTCAGTTTTGGCAAAACTATAGTTTTCTAAGGAGTTTCTAAAAAATAAAGTGAGTTAGGATCAAAGGAGACCAAAGCTATTCCATACATACTTGCCCTATACGAGTATATAAAGATATGAAAGGATTTATTAGCTTCGGGTTCAAAAATTATCGTTTTTATACTGATTAATTATACTAGTATAACATGGCTTTCACATTGCAGAAATTGAAACTTCATTATCTTAGAAATATACTCCGCAACAATGGGATTTTTATCAATTTACCAAAAAAAAAACCTGCCAACAAAAAGTCTATTTACCATGATACCCTAAAACAAAATAATATTAAACACACGCCTATATATTGTATTGCAACATATGCCATCTCCATTACTCAGCATGGGAGTGAGAGGGATGAAATACGTTCCCTCGCACGTGCTGCCCAGGTGCGTCTACCTTCTTTTATCGCGCCCATTACCTATGTCGATTCAATTATGCGGAACTGTTGACTCTGCTGTATATTCAAGGTTTGTTGTGGGAGCGATTTCAGGCCCAATCTGTAATAAGGGTTGAATTTAATTATATTTTATACTACAATAAAGAACGACGCTATCTTCATAAGAGGCTATGACATTTAGAAAATGAACTGAAGATATATTTTTAAAATACGAAAGATGTTTTTTATAGTTAACCCTAAAAATCCAAACAAGTTTGAAAACTATGTTTGAGTGTTATATCACTATTCTAGTCTTTAACTGTGTATGATTGTATTGGGTATACACAACTATGCGTATACAGCAGAATTGTATACTCACACAGACATATACATATATGTATTTATTAATTTGATGGTGAGTACGGATGTTAATAATACATGTACCTACAATAATAATTTTCTCTTGCATGAGTGTGTTTTACTACGCTACGCATTCAATTGAATAACTATTATGGATAATCAAGCGTGCTTAGTTTGCTTTACAATGAGAAATTTAAAACTATATACATACTACCTATAATAGACTAACAAAATGATTTGTTTTGGGAGTAAAGACGTACCTATCGAAAAAATACTATATCTAAATCATTGTGTTTTTAAATGAAAATAAATGACAATTTGGCTAAGTCTTAGATTATAATTTGGCGAGATTATCTTTATATTTATATAGGATATAATTAAACAAAACATGTTTATACAAATAATTTATCTAGTTTATTTTGTTAAACAAAAGCATATCACATAGTCAGTAGATATTTTAGCTTCAAAACGAAATACGTCTGTTGATATTCCTATAATATTTAAAAGGATTTTACAGAACATATGATCTTCATTCCAGCTAAAACCAAAAGACTATACAAATAATCTTATGTGTATGAAAACAAATGATCGGACGACGCGTGACGCGATTATCCTTGGGACGTGATACAGAAAATTTTGAGAACGAAAACCTACGATTCTTTATATTATTCTAATTTTTTCGACTTTCCTAAAGCTTTACATATGATTCCCTTTTACCAAAGTTGCCTCTCAGGTCCAAATTCGAGATCGTTTATATCGCGCGTGTTTTACGTAGAAAATATGGAATCATGAGATGGCTGGGGTTTTTAGAATTTTCTGGTTCAGGCTTCGCTTTATATTTTAATTATATCAATTAGTGAAGGGGAAGAGTATATTAATTATTACGTCAATTTTGGTTGTTTAATTTATTAGGTTTGTAATAATTGATCGAATAAAACAATTATATAAGTATCTTATATGTGAAAAATATATACTTTTTGATATCATTTGTGTTAAGTTTTTAGAGATAATAAACATTTTGAACCAAAAAAATATTTCTGTTTTAAAAAATTGGTTTGGAAACAAGAGATATTTTAGCATATGTTAAATAATATGTTATAAGGTTAGTAATAAGGGTTATGAAGTATATGTTGAAAGGTTTTTGAAGCTATCGCGACAAAGGCGAATCCTATTATAAGTTTTGTAACGTGAGGTGAGCTTATATTATAAAAATCTTGCTAAAGTATTGTGAATATTACTAAATATATACAAATGTAACGGATTTCTCTATGTATATGGAATACATATGAAAATATATATTATTCGGACCTTTATTTACTCAAATATAACCTAAAACAAGGATTTTTGGATTTTTCATCTACTTTTTTGTGCGTTTATGAACTCTAAACTCAGAAATGAGTTATTCTATATACATATGTATATATAAAGTATTTTGTATATGTACCAAAACGAAGTTGTTTTAAATGAATATTTCACACGGACAATGTCGCAATTGTAGCTAATGTATAAGAAAATTATTTGAATTTTTTGTTGTTTGGTACATATCAAATAAAATTTATATCAATATGGTATTTTAAGACGATTTCATTTTGGTGAATTTAAATCCATTTATCAACTCCACGTAGACTGAGTCGTGGTCAGAGGCAAAAAAATTGAGCTGAGCTCGAGAAGTGGGATAGATTGCACTGCAGAGTTGATAGAGACTTGTCTTGAAGCACTGATTTATATCTTAAGCGAGAATTCAACCCGTTAATGTACTGTAAAGTTTGCTTTTAGTATATGTAGAAGTTTATTATAAAGAATTGGACTTCATTTCTTAAGTTGATATCGGAAGAAAAGTCTATAAGTGTTCGTGGGTATTCATAATGATATGAGTGTTCTGTATAATTATAAAAGTTCTATTTGAAAACAATCTATTGTTGTTTTATAAGAATATGAAATTTTTAAAGTTCTCGGATTCAAAAAACCCTCACAGACAATTCTTCAAGTTATTCTAATAGTTGCTCGGAACTATATTTTCAAATAAAACTTTCTTACTGCTGCAAAATTCCTTGCTCCGCGCTGAAAAATGTTTGTAGTTATTTGAAATTCATCTAAGTTATGACTCTTAAACCAGGTTTTACTTCATACATTATTTTTAATTTAATTTAATATACTTTCATGATCCGGCTACATTCTACAATATAGTATAGTAAGCTTAAAAGGCCTTTTTTGTCACATATTTGAAAGCTACAGATTTAGTTAGTTATACAATCTTTTTTGCAATAATTATTGATAGTAAATAAATCATTAGGAAAATAATATTAATTGATTTATACAAACTATTGAAGTGTTTATTGAAAAAAAATGTATAAAATCTGCTTAATTTATAGTTGTAATTATTTGAAGTGTCAAACATACATCTTTTTCATAATTACAGTTCGCAAGTGCACCTTTGTGACTTGAAGTTGAATGTTTTAATATTTGAAGTATCAGTGAACTCATGTCTAAGAACCGTATAGTTAAAAGAAGTCCATATATTACCAAAGTATATGATAACAGGTAGTTAACTTTATAGGGCACTAAACAAAAATCGGTGATAAAAATATTTTAAGTCTTTGAAACGCCTCCGACCATTTGATAGCAATTTTACTCGAAACTTTATTGTTAAGAATTTATCTGTTTGCCGAAGTTGTTAAGTTCTTTGAGTTTTTAAACATAACCTTCCAAATCGAAGGAATTGTGTAGCTCGAAATGGAATTCTCCACGACGTTGTTATAAAGATTCTTCAGTTGAAATCTTGTTTATGACGAATGAAAAATTATGGCTTTGAAATCTTGTTTAGAAACTTTTGTTTAATAATTATTGAAATTCACGATCCTGAGTTTTAGTTTGGTCACGATTATACGGCAACATAAAGAGATTGGAGCAGTGGAAATGTAGTGAAAATTATATTAAGCGAAATTAGAGTTATTTCGTTTGAAATTGTTTGTTTAAGAACTAAAGTCCTTATGATACCTTAATAGCGTATTCGTTTTTTTAAATAGGTAAATATATTTTTTTATACAAAAAAAACTGCCCGTCAAATATTTTAGAATAAATAAACAAAATAAGCTGAAAAAATCCATAAAAAATTAAAAGGTAACAGGTGAAATATTACCTAAGTAATATTAAAAAGTGTTATTTATTTAAAATTTCTTTTAGCTCAGGGAATTAAGGTGACAGTTGTTAACAGCTCTAGGGATGTCTTCTTTTTATACCGCAGGCCCTTTGTCACTTTAGATAGATCTTGTTAATTTACCTACGGAGGTACTTTTAAATTTCGACGTAAAGTCAATAATTACATTACAAACTACTAAAAAAATATTTTTATTTTGTTTCAACCACAAATTTCTTTTATACAATGTCTTAAAATAACAATAAATTAATTTATTTCAGCAGCGCTAATAATTTACATTTATAACACCTATTATTCACACTTCATTCCACGAGAATAGGAGTACTGCAAGCAGGATAATTATTTTCAGGAATACCGAGAATTTAACGCAGTGCCAGCAATTACCATATTACGTGATTTTCTTTTTCAAGCAATAATCCACGCTACTACTATTACATTAAAACTCAAACTTTAACATCAAGACATACTTATATAGAGACCAACTTTTACTTTAATGTGTACGGTTTCGAGGAATTAGCTATATTATAAATTGCAATAGTTTGTTCGTTACTATTTTCATTTGTTTAATATGAAAGTGTTATGTTTATGGAAAATTGAATATTATT